GAGAGAGAGAGAGAGAGAGGAGACTTGGCAGAAAGAGAGAAGTAGGTTGGTGGATTCTTAATTCAGCTGGGGAATGATTTCAAAGAGGAGACGATGAGGCTCCCTTGTGTGCCTGCCTCTAAAAAGGTGGGGGGGAGGAAAAAAAACCTCTAGGTTAACAAAATGGCAATCAATACTTTTAATTTGCTTACTGTCTCTCATTAGCAGGCAGAGGAGGAGGGGAGGACGAGTGACAGAAAAAGAGAAAAAGATAGAGGTGGGTGGGGTGGGGGTGAGGGAGTGATGGAAGGGAACAGCTGTGGGCTTGGCAGATTGATCCAGAGCTTTAGACACAGAGCTGGATCTAGATCAGATATGATGATGTGCCAGAGAAACTCGATGCATCTCCACGGCTCGTCTGAAGCTCTGGAGCCACAATGGCCTCCCTTCATGATGATGGAGCGGGGGCGGGGGGGGCGGGGGTGTGTGCAAAGTGCCTACAGTAAAAGAAAGAGGGTGCAGCGAGGAGGTCGGTCTCCTCGTGTCGTCGTTCTTTCCAGTACTTTCAACTTCTTTGTTTTCCCGGAGGAAAACGTCAAACACAAGCAGTGCAGAGGATGCAGGGACGATGCACCGATGACCACGGACAACAACAGTCGGTGGTCAATAACATGAAATATACACATGATAAAGCTGCCTTCTTTCATTCGTTGGCCACTCAGGGGCAGAGGAACAAGCTGAAAACACAATATTGGCATTTTATCACCTTATAAAGTTGTTAAGTTGCCTTTTTACACATCCTGCAGCCCACTGGAGTCGTGTCGCTGTCATGTGAGTAATGTGGGTGCAATATCTGAGACGTTTTCAGGAGGGGATCGCTACAGGATTCATCCTTCAGGGACCATGACTGTTTGTAAAATAATTTCAAGACAATCCATCGAATTGTTGCTGAGACTTTTCAGTCTGGACCAAAAATGTTGAACCGTCCAACGTTGCCCTCCCTGGAGCTAAAAACAGACGACGGAGCAGAAGATAGTGAGAGCAGACGCAGATAAAAGTGAGAGATTAAGGCCCACGCCAAACACTGAGCCAAAATAAAGTGCAGTTCAAGGTAAGGTAAATTCTCTTTGGCTCTGCTTTTGATTCTTTTCCATCAACCCTTCACATTCTGTTTTCCTCTCTTCCTCCTCTGCCTTTCACTCTCTCCCTCTCTTCCTCTTCTTGCCTGTCCTCTGCTGCCTTCTTTTACTATTTATAGTATGAAAATCTACTACTTCTCCCTCTTTCACGCCCTCCCTCTCACCTTCTCTTTTTTCAGCCCTTACTATTTTTAATCACTATCACTCTGCCTTCTTCTCTTCCTCTCCTCAGCCGCCTTCACTACAAGGGCTGCAGGTAAACGAACTGATCTCATATGGAGGCCAATCAAAGGCAAGCATCCTCTTGGCAATCGCTATCACTTTGGCACAGCATCACTTACGCCTAGGAAAAAAAACAAACAAAAAAAAAAAACACTTGAAGCTGCAAATTCAGTGGGCTAACTGCATTAGTTGTGTACTGTGCTTGATGGATGGAGGAGCATGAGGTTTCTCTGTTTGGGGGAGGAGACATATGGTGATTCGTCTGCAAAGGAGGGAATTAAAAGTCTGCCTGTGTGGCTAATAGACATGAAGAGGCAACATGTGCCTGGCTGCATGACAGCACCACCTCATTTCTTAGTCTGGTGTTGCTGTGCAGCTCCTGGCAGCTGATGATGCGTTCAAGCGCACTGGGGTTCACTGGATGCTGTGGAGAAATTTAGCCTAATAACTGGAATGATTAAATGATGTAATAAAAAAAACTTTTGTAATAGAAAATAATTGCCTCTCATTAGTTGATGGTATTGAACCGGTGTCCACCTGCGTGCACATACAATTCCCTCCACAATACTAGAGAAACACACACAGAAACTCCATCATTCTGATGTAATGAAGACTCACCTCTGTGGATTTACTGCAGCTGTAAAAAGCTAACAACTCCAATGAATTAAACTTAGGGGCTGTATAACAGAGTTCTGTGTAGCAAAGTATTTCTCGAAATCTCATTAAACCACCAAGCATCAATTATGGTCCCGGTGTGAGTTAGTGTATGTACAGGAGGGAACGTACAGGAGTGCATTTAGATGTTATGCAGCCCTAATCTAGTTACTCGGGCGTTCGATAAATCTATTATAGGAAGAAGGCTGAACATACAAACTTACAAGATGTTCTCATTTTTACTATAATAATAATTATCATTTTGTATTTTGCACGTGTTTCGTATTCCCCTATTTATCTATTTATTTCCCCTATATACAATAAATAATTGATCGCAAAAAAGAAATGACCAGATGTTAAGCGATCTTCTTAGCAGAAAAAAGACGTCGAGCAGATGTAAAGTGACAAAAAAACAGAATTTAATCCGACAGAGATAGACGTCTTCCATTAAAGTCAATAAAAATGTGAGAGTCTTCAAAGACAGATATGATCTGTAAGGTGAGGCTCACACGTACGGGGGGAGCTGACCTTCCACTGCTGCAGGTTAGCTAATCTGTTAGCATGTTTGCTACCAGTCATACAAGCTCCTAATTTTACTATAGTTTATTTCAGTGTGAACTGGTATTTGAAAATGATGCGTCGCTGAGCTGTTCATGGTCTGATGTTGGTGGAAATCTGACCCACACATGAAAGAACTGAAGCGAAAACTCTGCGATAAAATAACTGTAATGCAGAAAAGTTTTTCAAATCTGATTAACTGGATGTTACATTTGTATGAACATGTATTAACAGAGGTCAAAATGTGCAGGTTAATTAAGTTTTACTTTTGAGGCACATACGTGTGATTCAGTACGAGTAGACGAGCCAGCAAGTCCTCTGAAGACTAGTCCTCCAATGCCTTCACTGGTCTCCATTAGTCATGAGATACTTGCAGCCCCCCAAGAGTCTCCTCAATAAAAACAATGTAAGAGTTAAAGATGGTGCTGTGATCCTTTCTTTCTCCTCAACAGGAGTGCTGGTCAGCAGCAGTGCGCTCACTGTGGCTACTGGTAGCTGGAAGATGTATTAATGAGGCCTCTACAATATCGGTCAAATGTTTTAGAGCACCACTATTTTTCCAGTTTTTATTGAAATTTCTGCTGTTCAAGTCCAGTGAATAACCTTAAATGGTACAAAGGTAAGCTGAAGGTGAGGCCAAGGTAAAATATAAATAAATAAAATGTCACCAATTTCATAGAAAACTGGCTTTTTCAGGGATGAAGAAACTGATCAACTTCCAGTTTTCCTGCAGCGATAGAAGTACGTAAATGAAGCAGTGAAAGTTAATGCATATGTATATTGCAACCAGCATGATGAGGAAAAGATAAGTAAGAAAGGACGACGAGCTGGTTGGTCAGAGGTTCATCCTGCAGGAAGTCAACGACCCCAGAACATTAGAAGAAAAGAACCAGATGGCTTCACATGATGGAAGAGCAGAACAGACTCCAGACTTAAACCCCGTGCAGCTGGTTTGGGATGAACTGGACAGAAGGTGAAAGCAAAGGAACCTTAAGGTGCAACACATGTGACGACGTTTCCAAACAAGTTTTCAGTTCCACTGTAGGAAGAACATCACGAGTGAGTTCGGCTGCTGAATGAGACAAAGGTTTCAGTGGCAGCTGGAAGAATGGAGGTGACCAGTACTGTTGCTGTATTGCTGCAATGTTCCTTACTTTTGAAGTACATCTTTTCTTGTTACTTTTAACTGCACTGAAGTTGCTTTTTTCCCAACTTTTAAAACTTTGAAAAAGATTGCTTACCATCTGGCAAAACATTCATTTTGAGGGAATCTCTGAGAGACACAACTGTCAGAGTTAGATGTAACACTTACTCTATGAAGTAGACCTCTCCTTTCTCTGTGTAAGCCATCTCCCAGTTGTCTGGCAGGGGCCCTAGCTCGTCGTTCTCCTCCGGTTTGGGTACTGTAGTCTTTGGGGACTGTCCGTCGTCTTTGTGCGCCTCAGTGGTAGCCTCTGCTGGGTTGCTCTGCGGGGCGATGTCCCCCGAAGCGTCTGTGCTCTTGTCCTCATGCTCGCTCGACTCTGAGGTGACAACAGGGTAAGAAGAGTCAGGCACGACATTATCGCTGGGGGAGGTGAGGGGGGACGGGGAGAGTCAAAGACAGGGGAGGTGAAGCGAGGAAAAAGAGATGTAGGAGGCTGGGGGAAGAGATTGATTGAGACTCAGGGTTGGGGTGGAGGCAGGGAAAAAAAAGTGCAGTGATTAGAAAAAGGTGAGGGCGAGCAGTGACTCAGGAAAAAGATGAGTGAGGTGAAGGGAAGAAAGGGAATGACTGAGGTTAACAAGACAGAAAGACGAATAAAGCAGAGGAGACATTAGAGACTGAGAGAAGCAGGCTGTGGTGCCCTAGTTTGACTTGTGGCAGTGTGTAAATGTGCTAAAGAGTGAGAAAAATGGTGTGTATGGAAGAAAAAGAGAAGGAAATTGCAAGTGTGTGCACTTCCCAGAGGAGAGAGCTGGTGGAGGGAAGTGGAGAGGGGACAAATGAGAGCAGGGGATTGAGTGATAATCTATGGGAGGGAAAGAGCTAGGCAGCTATCTGCTTAGATCACAGAGCCTGCTGTGCTCTATTGATTCCCCTTCAGCTCTCCTGGTCAGCCCACACTCTGTCCGTCTGCACAGACAAAACTCCCCCTGAGCTGAGAGCAGCAGCCCACTTTAACAGCCAACATGGTTTACTGAGCAGCGCAGAGCCTGGAGTTATCGAGCATCTCAACGCCACCCGATCGCAATCAGTTAAAAATGTTTCCTGTGCCTGTGTTTTCGTCTGTCGTCTGCATCATTCAGAGTGGATGTAGATATCAAATATACATTGTGATGGTTCCCGGATACTTTTAAACCAGAGCCTAAAATCTTTAGACAGATCCTCGCTAGTTCTTCCTAAATCGACCAAATGACTTACAGCGGTTTTGTCTTTGCCATTACGACTGTGGCGACTGTGGCGTCCCCTAAAATCTTTTAGTTTTATCACCTTGATAGATCATGACTTTTCCTAATTGTATAATTTCCATACGCTCTATATCTGTGATGGGTGTAGATAAGAGCTCTACGCACCACCTCCCCTCACAAATCCCAAATAAGTCTGTTAAAATGTATGTTAGTGGAGTTTTATGACAGTTTGCTCTCCGAGGTCCAACACGGAGTTAAACCTTTGTCATCAAATGTTCAGTCTCAGTTCGTGGCACAGTGAAGCCTGAACACGTCAAAAAGAATTTAAATGAAAAAAGAAAAATTGATTTTGTAATTACGATTTCTATTTTTACACATGCAGCGGTGAGGAAGTAATGCCGATGTCAAAAGAACACAAAAGTTAAATAACCTGCAAAAATCCAATTTCATTACTTCTTTTATGAGCTTCATGTAATTGTATTTTATTTTGTTGTGCCTTTTAATTACTTTTATTTATTTAATTAGTTCATTACTTTAATACATTTTATTTTATGTTTTCCTTTTATATTCATGATGTCTTTTTTTTAAATCTGATTTCTTACAAGTAAAATACTTCTTTATGACTCTTACCCATAAAGCACTTTGTAAACGTTAAGAAAAGTGTTGTATAATGTGTATAAAGTTATTGTTACAGCTGACATTTTATCTTATTTTTTACATTTAAAACATATCTTACTTTTTCATTTCTTGCATTTAATGTAGAATTTTGTCTTTTTTTCTTTCCTCTTATCCTGTGAAGAAATCAAGGATGTTATGAAAACAACATTTTAAAGTAATTATTGTTCTACAGGATGAAATCTGTCGTCTGAGGAGTTTATGTAGGGATGTATTTCTGTCGCAAATGAAGAATCCTACCTTGTTTGAGCTCCTTGTGATAGGAAAACCAAAATCTCATCCTCTTACCAATCCTCCTTTCTCAAAGCACCACAGCTCCTTAAAGGTTGTACAAATGTCCAAAAAATAGTAAATCGTGTATGAAAGTAACTGCAGGCACTAACTGGGATCAGTAACTCAAGTTTCCGTGCTGCTATGTGTGGTGCCGTGCTGCGAGAGACTCGACTATCCTCAGGCCATAAAACCAGCTTAGAAAGTCACAGGACCCGAGCATGGTTTTGGATTTGGAATCACAAAAATCAAACTCATAATGCCTCTTTTATGATTGTCCTTTCATGTGACCATGGGATGCATTCAAAAGGGTCTGTGTGTGTGTAAGCATGTGTAAGTGTGTTTGGAAATATGTGCATATTTGGATGTCTAGACATTGCACACAGTGAGAGGCATGTTCAAATGTGTCTTGGTTTCTCAGCTGCTAAAGGCAAAACTTAAGAAATGTCTTTGTGCACTACTTCATGAATAAGAACAGCCTCAAGAGGTTTGGCCTTATTTTGTGCTATGTTAAATGTCACTTCTGCCTGTTTTCAGAATTTGGAGAGAATGTAACGTGAGTTTGGACGGGGCTGATTCTCAGTGAGAGAACACTTAAAAAATGTCTTTGTTGATCTTTCAGAGCCTGCAGGCTTGTGTTGTGCGTGTGTATGCCCTCTGGCTATCTGGGCTGAGACACTGCTTAATAATGATACCTAATGAATGATATCAGGTTCTAGAGAGGAACGGCGTTAATACTTCAATCATCACCACTTTGCATTGAAGAGGAAATCTCTGACTGTGAGAGCGAATTACAATTAACAGTTTACACATCAGGTCATTAAACTGCATATGAAGATGTCTATGTAACCAATTAAAAGTGATTATCTGCCATAAAATAATTTCCCAAGAAATGCATGTTGAACCAATCTGTTATTGTCTCTGTTGCTAGGCAACCACCCTAGAAGAGACTGCTGCTATGACTTAAACAAAACCATCAAACTCCTGCGGATCAGCCTGACCCGGAGCGTGACCTCAAACCTCGCTGTCACGGCGAGGCTTCTGGCTCAAGCGACCTCTGTCTGTGTCTGTGGAGGTTGCTGTCGGGGCTGACCTGGGGTGACAGCAACGCCGTTGCCGTTGACGACGGGTCTCTCCTCCTCCTCCTCCTCGGGGGGCTCGATGCTGGCTTTCTCCATGTTGCTGACCGACTTGTTACGCTTCCTCTTGCCCTCAGAGCTGGGTCTGGCGCCCGGGAGCAGCTGGTCCGTTACATTTAGTAGCAGAGCGCTGGGCTCGGCCGGAGGCTTCGGGGTGCCGTAAAAGTTATCTGGAGCGGGGAGGAGGGAGAGGTGGGAGACATTTAGACCAAAGTCATTTTTATATGATAAATACTTACATCTTATACTTTGAGCTGTGCTAGCAGCATGGCTGTAGGCCTGATGATGTCTGTCTGTAGGTTGTCGATCCACCAGTGTCGTCCAAACTTAAAATATCTCAACAACCATCGGAAGGATTACCACGACATACGTACAGATATTCATGGTCCCCAGAGGTTTGAATCTTAATGTCTTTGCTGATGCTCCGACTTTTTCTTGAGCAGCACAATGAGGTGGAGAGTTTTGGTTTTGAGTGAATTATTAATTTGCTACAGATATTCAAGGTCCCTTGAGGATGAACTATAATTATTTTTATGATCTTTTGACGTCACCATTAGAACATTTAAATGATTATTTTTCTCCTCTACAAATACCTACAAAACTAATGACCGAGGTGTACTTTGTGCCAGTTGGTGAACATGATACCTGCTTAACATCAGCATGTTAGCATACTAATGTTAGCACTTAACTCAAAGCAGCACTATGGCTGAGTACAGCCCCAAACTAGCACAGTCAACCCCAAGAGGGAGCAAGGACATAAAGATTTCTGAATAAAATCTACATTTCTGTTGAACTTTAATAAATGAGAACACAGCAATAAAGCTAAATTCAATGTAGACAATGTAAATGTAAAGAGAGAGAGAGAGTGGCAGAGTGAAGAAAAGCAAAGAGGCCAAGAAAGTGAGGATGAGAGATGTGGGAACAGTGGGTTTAAAGACACCGGTGCAGCCTCCACAGGGAGGGTGAGGTCCTCTGTGCACCTGACATCCTGCTGCATATCGAAACCAGCTGATCCGTGAGCGCACGAGCTGTGGTCTCAGCATCACATCATGTCTTACAATATTACAAGTTAAAGGAGCAACACGAATCTGCAAACACAAGCTCACACCTCATCCTAAACTAATTTCTCCAGTTTTTTTAAGGGGGAAATTTATTGTTGCCAAACTCGTCCATCTTTTCATCTGCACATCAGTCACATATCAGACTGTGCCCGGATTTCCCTGGCACGCTGAATGACTGTGCATTTCTGCATGGCTCGGATCGAATAATCACCACATCTCTCTCTAAGTTTGGGTCTCTGGTCAGAGCCAACTACCCACCTCTGGGAACTGCAGTTTTTCACTTGGCTCTGACTCAGCAGCCCCTTCCTCGCTTCTTCTGTGTTGATTTTACATTTTCACCGTCTTTCAGTTTGTCTGCTGGCAGCAGCCAAGTCCCTCCGACAGCCTCCATCAGTCATTGTGAAAACCTCATAACTTCTTGTTTAGGGATTACAATTTTTTTTTTTTTTTTTTTTACTTTAAGGGTTACTGTCAAGAATTTCTTTCGGGGACTTATCTGGTCCGAAGGGAGAAAATGATTTTTAAAAAACGCTGCCAGTGAAATGTGTGGAATAATGCAGTAAGTGTTGAGCTTTTAAAATGTCATTTTTCACAACAGAAATAAATAAATTCACATCTGTTGCATTGCAGTAGCATCAGAAATCTCAGCAGTAGATATCTTAAAACCTGACCAAATAAAACTGACTCTGGCCCTGTTTAGATCTGGTATTAAAGGTGCTAAATTGTATAAGGAGAGATTTCATGTCTTCTTTGATTATAGATCAGGTCTAGGTTCTATATTAACACTGTGAAAGTATCAAAGAGCTTAGTTCACAGAGAAATGCACACAGCCCGTATTCAGAAACTGAGCCTTAAAACGAGCTGTTGGGACTTTTGTAACTTTGTGATGTCACAGCAAAGCAGTCATCGCCCTCAGCCACGCCCCAAGCCCAGAGAGAGGAGATGTAAAACTACATTGCGAATGTTTTTGGTACTTTAAACCACAAACACATCTTCTTATGGATCAATACTTCACATAAAACACAGGAAAAGTATAAAATATTCGATCCAAGCTCAAACTACAGGTGTGAACGCACCTAAGACGCATTGAGGACGCATTTGAGATACGATCACTCAGACCATATTCGGAGGTGGTCTACTAAACTGGCATCCTCTGCCACAGTCTAACTAGTCCTGCCACAGGTTTCATAATAAACCAAAAATATTTTACTATTTCAAATGGATAAAACCTTATTTCACTGCAGAGCTGTGAGCGGTGCACGGACCTGTCTGTTAAACAAGCTAAAAACAATGTGTATCTTGCATATAGAGCAGGGAAGGGAGATCTGATCACAAGTGGTCACTGAAGACGGACGTGGAGACGCATTTTAAAGGCAGGTGTGAACTGACATACTTAGAGCTGACCACTTGTGATTGCATCGCCTGAGACGCATGTTAATGCCAGGTCTCGACCAGGACCTAAATGTGCATGGAGTTAAGTTTGTGCGTTAGGGGTGAACCACGCTTTCAAATTGAGAGGTTACACGCTCCTCTGCGGTTCGAGGAGGATAAAAAAATTCTTCAAAGTCAAGTGAAATAACTGCAGAAGATACTGTTGTCAAGTCGAACACTAGACTGTTATTTTTAACTTCTGAAATCTGACATTTTGGAGAGGGTTTTTCATATAACAACGGCAAATTCTTTTGTGCTTGAAACACAGATGCTGGAGCGAGTTGTCGAATCGTGTTGGTCCAATGTCTGAGAGATTTTTTTTTTTTTTTTTATAGAAAAGATCAGACACCGCTTTCTCTCTGAGGCTTTCTTAAACCCGAGCTTGAACGACAGCTGAAGATCTTTGTGGTTACAGCCGTGGCACAGAACAGGACATCAGCCGTAGTTTAGGTTAAGGTTTGCTGTTAGATTAGCTTATAGCTCCTCTGCTCCACTCCAGTGTCCCCGGCAGAACGATCAGACATTAGAGGACGTCGTGTGTGAAAATCCACAGAGATTATTTCATTGCACAAGGCTTGAGCATTAGAGACAAACTCCAGCACTGACTGCCAGGGAACAAGCAGAATGGCCAAAGAGATTTAAAAAAAACATAAGTTGGTGTCTTCTTCTTCCACGTTGTAGAGACCTATTGAAAAATCATGTTCACATTCTGGGGAACATGAGCACTGCGATGAAAAATGGAGGAGAGTAGCTGTGTAAAGATTAGGACGACTGTCGGGATTAGAGCCCCCCAAACCACAGACACAAATCCTGAAGCCTTAACGAGCTGGAGATTTGTCTCTGAGAGGAAAATGCGCTCCCTGTGTGAACTTAAATAACCTGCAGCATCACACAAACCTGGACTTTGAAGTTTGATTAAGTTGTGGAATTGGTGTGGCGTCAGACGGTCGCACCGATTTCAGACGACAGTCTCACCTACATGCTGATAAGACTGTCTTAAGAAAGAGAAATGAAAGACTCAATTAACGAATTCCTAAAACTAACTCTGAGAAAGACGAGACTGTCAGAAAACATGCCAGAGAATGATTAAAATGAGCATTTCCAAGCATATTTTGTTTGATGGCTTTATGGAGGACATTATTTTGGGCTTTTACGTCTCTGGATGTGAAAGTCCTTTTCATTTTCCTGCATAGACAATAATGACACAAGTCTGAAGCTGATACTGATGTTAAAGAAAATTAGGGTACATCCTGAAATACATAAGAGTCAAGTTAATATATATATATTTTTTAAAGTTAAACATTTCTGGGGGCTTTTTTTGACTTTATTTTGATAATACCAGCTGACTTGTTAGCCTGATTGATCGGTCGGACTCTGTAGACAATGAGAGCACATCTGCTTCTTTGATAAAACCATGTAAGAGTGACGACATAAAAACTTAACAACACTGCTTCCCTTTGTGCACTGGTAAAAAAAACAAAAAAACATCCAATCACCAAGCTGCAAAGATGTTGCCATGTAGAATAGTGCCAGATAAATTCAGCAACTATGGTGCAGTGTTTGGTTCTGTTTTGTTCATATTTTCTAATTTTCTATAGCAGTGGCAGCTGAAGTTTTATTTTGAAACGACTGGTCCAGAGGGCAGATCTGGCCCGTGTGATAATTTCACGAGACCCCTCCCCACGTATTTGGAATTCACTATTAAATCCAGTATTATGTTTTTATGTTTCCAATTCAGTTTCTCTTCTTTCTACATGTAACAGCCTAACAGCCTTCAACTAACAGCCTTCAACTAACAGCCTTCAACTAACAGCCTGACCTGGAGCGGAGACAGATTCAACAGGGAAGAGAGTGATTCGTTTTTTTTTTTTTGTGCATATCCAATTTTAATATGACTGCTAATCAGAGATGACTAACAGTTCCTCCCACTTATTTATTTCCGGCGTTTTCTTAAACAGAGCTGCAAACACTGAGAAGTTAGGAGTTCATTGTCTTTCTCTCGGAGCGGGAACCTCTGACAGCCTTCCATTTAAATTTCATCCCATCTCCTTTTCTTCCACATCTAATTGGCCATTAAATGATTAAAATATATAAAAACGCTGAACGATGGCCGAGCGACCACGCAGAAGAAACTCCGTCTCCCTCTCCCCCGTGGAGAGCAGCTCCCATCGGCGAGAGGATCTAACATTGCTTCTGGCAACCGACCGTTAAATTGGCCATCTGCAATTTTTTTTTTCCCCCTCCTCCTCCCTGCAACGGTGGCGGGCCGACAGAGACTGGAGTCAGGTGGGAGAGGAGAAAGTTAGCTGCTATGTGTTATCTATATAATAACAGGGGTCTCCTGAGTGTTTGGGGGGTGGGGGTGGTGGTGGTGGGGGTGGGAGTGTCCGGGCAAAGCAGGAGCTGTTTTAAAATCCATGCCTCAGGCCTGTCTGACCACAGCAGAGAGAGGATAGAGAGTGTCTGTTTGTTTTGATTAGGCAACTGAGCAGCTACTGCAGCTCACACTCAGGACTGAGCCAAGAGAGTCAACATGAAGGTACTGCATGAATGTATATATATATATATATATATATATGTATGTATGTATGTGTGTGTGTGTGTGTGTGTGTGTGTGTGTGTGTGTGTGTGTGCACGCGCACGCTGGCGTCTCTTCATTCAGAATTTACAGAAGATTCCTCTCACTGTCCTTCATGAGTGATGACATTCCTGTCTCTGCAAAGCCAAAAGATGGATGGATGGCATACTTGTGAGTGTGAGTGTGTGTGTGTGTGTGTGTGTGTGTGTGTG